CATTGGGAAAACAGATTTGTTTTACAATAGTATGGGGCTGTGAGGAAATTTTACTAACAAATCACTTATTGTATGATCTGTATAATTTTGAGCAGTCAGATTTAGAAATTTAGGATGGTCTACTACTACACCATTTTTAAGTCATAAAACGCATGAAAATGTGTGGGACACAGTAATATGACATTTCTTTTCATGTAAAATTCAAGTAAATATTGTTCTTACTTTTTTTTTGGAAAATGAAAGAAAGCAGCTGCCCCTATATAATGAGCACCTGAACATCTGTTTTTTCCTCTAAGTAATTAAATATCCTTTCTCTGAATGTATATTGCTAAATATTAAGTTTGTAATACTGAAAAGAAAATTGTACTCAATGATAAGATGGGCATAACACTTTACCCTAAAGAAAGAAATAAGCTTTTTAAAAGTAAAACCACAATTGCCCTAGGGTACTTAGAGGTATTTAATTCATTGTACAGTTTGACCATATATTTTTTGTTGCTCACAATTCTTTTTTCTTTCTCTTGCATTTTACATGTGTTCACTTTTTCAATAAGTATAAACTCAATAATTTTCTTCTAGCCTATACTATCTGTGTAAGGTAATTCACTTTGATTTACCTATAACAAAGTTCTAGAGGTTTTTGGTTGGGAAAACAAATCAGTATTATCATTTCACTGCCTTTCTTTGGCAATATATTCTTTAAAGAAAAAAATGAAACTATGCAGAGCAACTTTATTAAGCTATAGCAAACAAGGAACATACACAGTTAACCCTTTCACTCCCAGAAGCGATTAACATGAAACTTCTCCCTATAATATCCATGCATACTCAATTCAGCAAACAGGTAATGAGAATATTTGAACTTATCAGGTAGAATCTGCTTTCTTGATCTAGTACCAAGTTCTCATAACTTATTTACAAGGAAATGTGTAGCAGCTAGAGGGGAGAATTGTCAGTCAGATCTTGGGAGTTAAAGGGTTAATGATCTTTCTGCAATAAGTTAGTTTGGAAAATAGATAAGAATGATTAGAGTTGAAAATGTCATTTATGTGCTTATTACATTGGTGGATAACATGATTTGTGACATTTGAAATTACAGTTTTAAAACCAAATTTTTGTGTGTGAGGACATTTTAGTTTGTGAGTTGCATTCCAGTTACATATCCACTCCTGAGCAGAAATCAGCAACAATTACATTCAATTTTAATTTCCTAATGAAAAATGCCAGAGCACTTGATGTTTGTTGTAAACTTATGCCAACTTAAAATTTACCAGTATTTTTTATGTCTTATTTAACCAAAATTTCAGGAGCATTTTATACAAAGTATCCAAGACACAGGAAATTAATATCTATCAACAAGAGACACACAGGTACCCCTTATTTGTAATGACTGTAAAATTATAGACTGAAGCATTTCTTTCACTTAAGGATGGTGGGGAAAGGGTTTGCATGAATGATTTCACAAAATGATGTTCCCTTATTGGCTATATATAGTATTTAATGAATATCTAAATTAAAACACTGCATTAATCTATCATTCATGTTTCAATGAATACAACCAAGTTAGGGTTATGGTCAACCCTTTGACTGCATTCTTTTAAGCAGAGAACGATGGAATAGACTGAGGTACCCTTACTGTCCATTAAAGGTTATTGATGTGTTATGGAAAGTAAAAAAATGATATCAAGAAACAAAAAATTCTGTTTTGTCACATGGTCTTACATTAAGGCCTTGAGGATTGAAGTATGATGTTTTGGTCATCCTAATACAAGTTATACATATGACCTTAGAGACATCTTCTCAAAAACTCTTGGAAAAAAAACTAAGAACATCTTGTATCAATTCAAGTTTTCAGCTTTCCAAAGGCTGAGTGATACATTAGATTATCTTTCTTTCTTGAGGAAACTTAAACCTCCAGAACTAAGTTGATTTGCAACATTTATTTTCATTTTCAGGAAAAACAAACAAAGAATTTAACATGCGTCATGATTGGAATTCCCTTCTCAGTGATGATGAGTCTCTTTTAATGACTAAATATTCCAAACAGTTTTTCCCAGATGCTGATATCCTGGTGAGTGTGATATCTTTCTGCTCAACTCTTCAGGGATGACTCCAATTCAGCTTTCAAACATTTTACCCCAAAAAGAAAACCTCACAGTTTTGTTCCAATTTAAATAGACCCATCACCTTCATCATTATATTCCTTATGGAAGATTAGTAAGGGTAAGTCTGCTCTTGAGCCAAGTGGTCCACCAGCCAGAGCTTATCCTGGTTTCCTTAGCATAAAGTGACAAGGAGTATCACTATTCCCCCCTGGATGGGATGCTAGTTCATCACAAGGTTACCTTCTAGCATTTGGGTTAATTGCCCAAAAACACAACAGTCATTGACACAGCCAGGTCTTGAACCCTGACCTCTTGATATGTAGCACAGCACACTAACCATTGGCCCATCATGTCTCCTAGAGAAGGACAAACCTTTCACCATGAAAAAGTAATGAAATATACTAATTATAGATATTAACAAAAAGCAAAACAGTTGCACCCTCATGTGACATCAGGTTTAGAAATAGAACCCATAGGTAAGTGTTCTAGATGATGAGCCATCCCTTTTCTGCAAATTGAATACTTGTGTGGCATACATTTATTATAAAAAATTATTGAAATATTGTTTACTTTATCATCTCTCTCTCTCTCTCTCTCTAGGTGAGATATCTGAATGACTATGCCACCAAGCTCAAACTGAAAGTCCAGTACAACACAAACATACTGCATGTGTCTAGAAGTGGGGAAGAGGATGATGCTCTTTTTCACCTCAAAGATCAAAATGAGACTGAATACACCTGCAAGAATCTTGTTATCTGGTAACTAAAGAAGAACTTGTGTTTTCAAAGATGATAGATATGAATTACTTTAAAAAATATCACAGTGCATGGTTACCGCTTTCTGTTCAGCCCTACCACTTCATGTTAGGTTTCACCTTACAGCCCTTTCTTGGGGCACAGTCTATGCTATTGGTGGCTGTTTATGGAAAAAGTTATTGAAACCCTGTTTTGATAATCTGTTAGTTGTAGTACTCACTTGGTTGTCTAACTTGCTAACTGCTTTGTTCTTTTCTGTTTGGTTAGTACTGGTATAGCTGTTGAAAATCTCCCCAGAAAGTTTAAAGGATTTGAGTACACAGAGGTTTGTCCTTGAGATGATACTTTAAAATTGGCCTTTTGATTCCCAGAAATGATTAGGATGGAAGGTCTCGTTGCAATATCAGGAATGAGAGGAGAATGAGGGGATGAGTATTGAGAAAGCCATCAGTAAGAGGCTTTTGTGTGGCACCAAATTCTCTTACTAGTCATTATAAAATATAATTTACAAAGAAATATATCATGATGACACCCTTGTTAAATTTTGTTGAAAGACCCTGCTTCCCTCTTTAAGTTGGTTTCCTACAAATGGTCCAGTTCCCCTAAAAAACATTGATGAAGGGGAAGATAAGGGGAAATATTTCAACAATTTTGATAATCAGGGTTGATAGATGACAGCTGTATGAACTGAAGGCACTTTGACACTTTGATCCAACATTTAACTCTGAAGCTAGAGGGCTGTTCAGAGAATTGATGGCAAGAATCAACCCTGATGTAATTAATTTCCTGCTTTTAAATCATGACCAATTCATTTACATTGATCAAATAGCTCAAAGTTAAGATTTAGATTTTATATCCTTTTTAAGGCCGTTACACAACACTCTCCACCTTTCTTTTTTTCTGGGGGGGAGAGGGGGGAGGGAGAGATGACTGACATCTAGAATACAGTTGAAAAGGGTCTATGAGAGGTATTCAAGATACTCCTAATACTGCGCAATGGTATGACCTTAACATACAATTTTTTTTTTCAATTTTTTAGAGTTACTCGGATATTTCAACAAACCCTGATGATTATGAGGGGCAAACAGTACTGATTGTAGGAAGAGGTGAGATGTCGGATAGTGTTGGGGAGGGGGGAAGTTTTCTCAGTAAAAACCTCTATTCAATAACACTTATTGATTTCATTGCTTGATTTAGGGAACTCAGCATTTGAGACAGCAGATAGCATAATGGGAGCTACCAATTTAATCCACATGTTTGCCAGGTTTGTTCGTTGTCAAACATATTTTTAAGTTACTTTTTGGAGGGCCTGCCTCATGATGTTTTGATAATCTTGTGCAGACTTCTATCAGCTTAAAAGAGGTTACTAAATAGTGGTTTGGAGACTGAGATAGAAGACAGAAAAGGGACAATAAGTATTTAAAGGAATCCAAGGATTGCTACAAAAGGAAAACATTAAGACAGATGGAGTAGATGGAACATGATGGATTTTAAGCTTAAGCTTAAATTTATTAAGATGCACACAAATATAACTCCTTTGAGCAATTATCAGAGATGCATCAGGGAAATGGCTGTTCTTAAATTTATTTTTTAACTTTGAACCAACCCTTAGATAACTGGATAGGTTAATGAATTTGTTGGTACTCTTAATTTAATAGTTTCATTTCATTGCAGATCAAGGGTTCGTTTGTCTTGGGAAACCCACTATGTTGGTGACTTGAGGTATGGTACATGGTCTCTCAAGGATCCAAATTAGTTCTCCACATGATTATTACATTTCTCATAACTCTTGCTCTGGAGAATTTGACGCTAAATCAAGCAGTATCACATAGGTCGATCTTTGTCTTTCTTCGTCACCTTTCTACTGAGAATTTATTGGTATTGCAAGGAAAATGAACCATTAATCAGCTGGGGAGTGACGGTTAACTAGTGTTAAATTACACGCAGACAACACAGCTGACTGCTTAAGAGCTGAGTTATACATTTCTTTTTTTCTTCGGTCGCAAAATTGCTACTTCAACACGCTATGAAAACAAGAAACCTTACCAAACATTTCCTTCACATAAACCGAAACAGTATAAAACCGATAACTGTAGTATACAGCCTTTCAAGACTCTCTTAGACAACTTTTCACTGATTTGATTTAGCTGTAACTGGTTTAAATTTGTTCCTCTCACAGAGCCGTGAATAATGGAATCTTGGACACGTATCAATTGAAATCTCTTGATGCGTTACTGGGTAAGCTCTATTACCTTGTCTAACCGATTTTTAATTCCAATTCCGTTAATTCACTTTTCACTTGGCAGTCATCAATGTGTCTAAAGTCTGATTAAGTCAATACAATAATTATTGTACACATAACTACCTGTTAGCTCAGTCATGACCCCCACCCCACCCTCCCAAAGAATGTGGTTTGCTAAAAGCTCCTGCTTAGGATGATATTGTAAGTATCTTCACAATACTGTTCAGACGGAAGAAAATCCAACACACTTTTATTTAGTATACCTTTTTGGGTTAATGTTTTACACACTCAGAGGCTCCTATAGAGGAAATGGCCGTCATTAAGAGAGATGGAAAACTGTTTGTTGATGCCTTTGACGGCACTGGAGAGAACATTGTCACAGCAGACCAGCCAATCTCAGAGAGTGGAAGAGCACGTAAGGGAGGACTGCAGTCCTATTCTTTAATGAACCATTAATGTCAATTTAGTGTTTTGTATTCTTAAAAGTGATAATAATGGAAGGTCATAGTATTTTAATCAATTTTTTAAAATTATCTTCAGTAAACTCAACTTTAACTATTTGGAGATACATTCTTCATGAACTCAAGTGTGAGAAGTGCAGGTGTTTTGTCAGAGACCTTCATCACATTACCGTCATGGCTACTCTTATAATAACCATAACAGCTCTGGTTGAGTAAACAGAGTCAGGAAGAGACAGTTTTAAAACCTGCGGTAACCTCATCTCTCTCAAATAAAAGCAAAGAGTGAATCTGAGTAGTAAAACTTACACTTCTGTGCTTGGCATGGTAAACGTAAGCTTGCAATTTTAACCGAGCACACTTTAGACCACGCGCAGTCCCATCTTTTCGGCAAAGTCCTCGCGCAAGTCCAACAAAATCAGTGAAAAAAGAATTGGTGTTAGCGCACCGCGCGGTGAGCTAAAAAAAATTTTTCGCCGATTTTTGAATTAACTCGCGCAACGGACTTCGCCGAAAATGAGGGACTGCTCATTGTCTAAATGCAATTTAATTTTTGCGTTTTCTCATTGTTGTGGTGTTTGTTAGAAAGAGTGTCACCTATCCTCTTTGAAAATGTTTTGATCCAATGATTCTTTTTCAGCTGATAACTTTGCTGTGAGAGAGCCTTATGATCGCGTTATACGCTGCTTAGGTTTTAAGGTATAAAAATAATTTTACACCCTAACATCAGTATCCATATTCTCCACACTGTTCTCTGTTAATTTCTTAAGGCGCTGACAAGGAGAATTTGTTTAACAATCAGAAGCTTCTTCTGTTGCTGATCGTTTCCTTTATTCTCGTGACCCTAATGTGTGATACATGGGTGATATTATAAGGAGAAATTAGATGCTAGTCTCTCTTAGGAGTCAAAGTGTTAAACTAATAGCCCATTTAAAAAGTTCAACTGAATAGAGTGTCATTATTATTTTTCATCTGGACATCTGACCAATGCAAACAATCTCTACCTTGAAGCCTTTCTTGAGGACAATTTTTAGCATTATGGATTTTCTTGGGGCTTTTGTTGTAGAGTCCAAGTTTTTCTTTTTTTCTTGGAGACTTCCCCTGAGCTTCTTCATATCCCAGTTTAATATATGCCATACAGGTGAATAGTACTTTTCACACGCGCTGACTGGCTTGTTCGGAAGTGATTAACGAGAAGCATTCACCTCTGAGCAGCCGAAGAGACAACATTTCACCTCAGTGAATAATTGTTAGATATTTGGCATTGAAAAAAAATTTTTTCCCAGCAACGTGGGATTAAACTTCCTCACAACTTTGGTAAGTAGCTAACAGGAAGTTAGTGATTGTTGTACTAAGAAGTTGCTTCTCTTTTTATCAGTTTGACTTTTCCATATTTGACAACACAACTAAGCCAAGGCCAAGCAGAGGAAAGCGGTCCAAAAAATATCCAGCTATCAAACCGAGCTACGAGTCTACTTCAATTCCAAGACTTTATTTTGGTAAGTTTGCTAGGAATCTTGGGCGTGACGGTCACGCAATTTGTTTTCCAACAAGTTGTAGCATTTGCAGATACAACTCCCACACTCTTTTTGAAAAGTTTCGCACACAAAATCTAAAAGTTACTTTCTCTTTGCTATTTGGAACATACATATATTTCTTATGATGTAAATCTAAGAATTTAGTTTGAAACGTAGTTTTTTTGTTTGCGTTGCAGCTGGAACAAACACTCATTCTGTTGACTTCCGAAAATCAGCAGGGGGATTCATTCACGGGTTTCGATACACTGGTAAATTTGATTTAAACTTGGCTGAATCATCTATATATCTAGATATAGGAACATGTTAGAGGCTAAAGTACACATCAAAGTTACTACAGTAAAAAAACTTAAGCTGGCAAAATGATTAAAAACCATGATCACATCAGGTTCAAACTATGGTGAAATCTCGTTTTAGCGTTTCACGGCGTAGGCATGGCTTTGCAGTCCAGACGTAGCTCTTTCAAACGATTTGGTCGAGAGCAGGTCTTCAAAATGCGATTGTAAACACTAAGCTAACTGGACAATCTTCCATTGGGTATTAGTTCTGTTACTTCAAGCGCGGTTGCAGGCTTAGGCCGGTGGTCCCCTTATTAAAAATTAAAAATGGAATACTTGATTGAAATTGTTTTGTCTGACTGTGTCAGCAACAGTACTTTGACTTTTGCTATAATACTTTGTTCTCCCGCAGCACGCACTCTTCATCGTGTGTTGGAATGGCGTAACCATAAAGTAGTCTGGCCTCACGTGACAGTACCCATTGTAGAAGTTGTGAATGTGATACTTAAAAGGATTAATGAGGCATCGGTTAGTTTTTTTGATGTTTCTTAATGATCTAAGTGATATGCTCGCTTAGCTCTCTCTTGACTCTCATTTCAGTTTTCAACTGATTTTAGAACTAAGGAAATTTTTGCCTTATAAATTTGTGTTTATCTATCACTCAAGGTCCATTTTATGTCCAGATTTCAGTTTCTAACAAATGGTTTAAACTCGTGAAGTATATTTGACTTGGTGAGAGGGACTAATTTTTCGAAAACCTGGGCGGAAGTCATCATCAGAGTGGAGTGACTCTACAGATTTCACCGCTTGACTATGATGATGACTTCCGCTCAGATTGTCAACTGACAACAGCACTGTTCTCTCACAGATAATAAGAACAATCGATGAAGTTTCCACATCTCTTGTATGAAATTTTTGTTTTAACTTGGGCTTTGCTAGCCGTTGTTAACATAAATTGTTGACCTTACATAAATTACATACGTTTGTAAAATGCATGGCAAGCTTTTTCTGTATCAAACAGGGGATCTATCAGATGTTTGGGGTCCTCGGAGAAGTCATGATATTGCGTGAGTATAAATTTTAGATTGAGTTCTTTGAAAACGAGCCTTGTGAGAGAAAGACACATTAAAAATTGCATCCTCATGGAGATGACATGAAATTACAACACCAACGATTGAAAAAAGTGGGATTTTTGGTCTAAACAATAGACAAATTTGAAAAAATTGAAGGAGGGGAAATTAAACCAATCGCAGAGAGAAGAGATGAGAAACTTATGCCTTGTGGGATTACTTTCGAAGCTTGATTGAAAATTGCCCTCTGTCAAACATCCTCGTTACTTAGCTCTAGGATTTAGAAGTCGATGTGATCTGTGATGCTTTTGTCCAATTAGGAAAACGAGGATGCTGGTCATTGCTTTCGAAAGGAGAAAGAAAAGTATCAGTTATATATGATATTACGTCTTGCTTCTTCAGGTGATAATGGGAAAGTAGAGTACTACGAGGAATTTCCAATCAGACTTGTACATCAATTTGAAGGTAATGTTTTCATGATCTGCTAAATCACGTAGACCATAACTTAGGTCTGGTTCCAGCTTGTCATCATTTGATGTTTCAGATCACAGTCAGCATCAGAGCAACTGCGCACCTACCCCTCCCCTACTCCAACAGCAGTTAACTTATAACAAGTTAGGGTGAATGTTGGGTAAGGGGAGGGGTAGGTGCGCAGTTGTTCAATTTGTCAACATTCTGACGAGATCTAGTATCGTGGGTGGATTGACACACATAATTACTGTCGTGTTACTTTTGCTCTTTATCATAGGAAAGACCACTTCGTTAGCGTCAAATTGTGCCAAAAAGAGACGCTCTCTTGTGAACTTTTCGACTGTATCGGGAAACCAAAGCCTAAATGAGGTGTTACAACGGGCAATGAGAACTTAAGTTTGTTAAACACAAGCAAATTGTCAGAAGTGCGGGAAAACACGAATGCCCAAGTGATGATTGGCTTTAGTTTTCTAATGATCTGATTGGTTGAGAGGGTTGCGTGAGTTTCCTGGACCATTCACAGCGCACAGGAAAGAAAACCAAATTTATGGATTTTCGGGTTATTGGGTTTGAGTGGCTGTTAAAAACACCCTACGAGAGAGACCCACATCATAGTTCAAACAGAATTTTTTCACGTCGTCAAAAGTCGAACCAGATTAACTGATGCGCAAAACTTCATAAGTTATGTCTTGGCTGTTGTCGTCGCGTTTCTTTTTGAGACTTTCTTTCGGTCCACCAGTTCTCCTACTGCTCGACTCAGCTTGTAATTTGGTAAGACCTCCTTATGAAATAAAGGGTATACGCCTCAATTTAGAATGAAATTGTTTTCTTGTTCTGTCAGAGTTCACTGGTCGTCCAGCAGGCCCAATGATAGTACTCAATATGGAGTATGGCAAAGATTTCTCTGGAGCTGGGTGAGTGCAAAGCTCAACAAATTACCGATTTGTGTTTTTGCGCAAACATTGTGTGAGCATGGCGGTCTTTCTGTCTCTTGCGAGATCTTGATTTCATTTTCTCTGCCTTCTGTTTCAGTAAGCTTAGAAATAACTCCTTCTGAAAATAGAATTGAGTTTTAAAAACTGGGAATTTGAAATTTTGTAAGCCCTGCCCGCTGATAATTCCTTTGTTCTCGCCACAGCAAGGACACGTTTAAGTCAGACCGTGCCACCGGAGAACCAGGAGAGGCGCATAAATCGAACTTTTTACATCCGGTCATCTACTTTTATAAAGAACCTCCGACAGGTAACACCACATAGTATAATTTCTTGCTTTCTTTTTTTCCCTTACGGTGTCCTTTTTATCACTTTTACATTACTTTCTTTGACTTTTGCTTGGATAGCCCTTGTGTATTTTGACCCTTTCACCTTTAAGTTGTTAACCGTGATTTTGTGGATCAATATCAGTATCTGAGCAACTGCACACTTACCCCTCCCCTCCCCAGTCAACTGATAACTAGTAAGGGTTAATGTTGGGTTAAGGAAGAGGTAGGTACGAAGCTCCTCAGCTACTGACGTTCATCGATTTTCTTTACTTTCGCCATACATCTTTACAAAGTCAGTTTTATAATTTGGCGTTTCATCAAGCAATGCTCCATTTTTTATTTTCCATTATTCTGACCACCTGTCTACTTTTTCTTCAGCTTTGCCTAAAGAAACAAAAGAAGTTGTTCTTCCTAGACCAGATCGCCTTCACCACATGGTGGAAGATTTCTTGACGCAGTGGTAAGCGAAAATCAAGTTATATAATTGGCTCGCTCTGACGAAGAGCTAACGCTCGAAACGTCGGCTTCAGAACTTCTTTACGGTGACCAAATTACATCATCAACTCAGTTCATAAGACCAAATTATCGTGTAATACCGCCCACTGACGCAGTACCACAGTTTCTATAGCAACTTACCCCCTTCATTAAATAATTGGTTCACGGGATAGATAGAGAGTGTAAAGGTTGTGCTTATTGTTAATGTTGCTACTGCTCCCTTTTTTATCGATTTTGTAGATGTTAACCTCTCCTTGCTCATTTTTACAGGACTGCACCAAACTCACACATTTTACCGTTACGTCGTTTCATTGAAAATGTTGTTCAAAGTGATCTTCGTTCCTTTTTTGCTTCAACCTGCTTTAAGGTGAGCGGCACAACTTCTTAGATACCCCTCTGGTTGTCACGGTTTTAATGATGGGCAACATGTTTATCAGACAGTTTTTCAACAAATTGTATCGTAACATAGCTGGTATTTTCGTGTAATAGCCGGTCAACTTCTCACATTGTGCGTCCTGATTTTAGTGGATTTATTTTTTAGTGGAAATTATTTTACGAAACACTTTCAAACTACTGCGTTGATAAAAACAATCGTTTCACTTATCAGCTGCGTTCATCGAGATGTGATGCACTTGAGAAGTTTGGAGAGCACTCTAAAAAGCTTAGAATAGCCCTTGGCCGCTGCACCAGTCGCTGACACGTGAACGAATTTTGAAATTTTTTAGGAAACGTGCGTACAGTGGAGTAAAATTTTTCTTCAACCCATTATAATTTCATTGACAAGTGCCCTTTCCAAATCATCGGCACCAACAGCGTACCACCTACCCCTCCCAAACTCAACTGTTGTTGAGTTAGGGGAGGGGTAGGTGGACAGTTGCCCAGATACTGATATTGATCCCAGAATTTGTCACTAATAAGTTTTCCATGACATCTCCCTTTATTTTTCCAGATTATGATGACTCAGAAAACCGCACCAATCAATTGTCAAGGACACTACACAGAAGGTAGGATGTCTCTTGAGAAAACGTATAACTAGTATTTACGGTGATTTTGATTTACTCACAGTTTGCGTACTTAGTTACTTTTACATTCTAAGAAGATTTTAGGCGTAAATTTTTTTGAGGTCGTAATGTTATTGCTACCCCTTTTGCTGAAAATGTATTTTTTTCAAAATCAATTTTTAAGAAATTAACTGACGTAGAAAGTTTCAGACATACAAAACAAAGATGCCAAAATGTCATTTAAGAGAAATTGCACCGAACTAAATACACCCAAAAAAGAACACATCAACTTGTTCAAATTTGAAACTGGCTAGATTTCAGTGCTGTCGAGAAAACTTAGACCAATCTGGCTAGCGGTGCTAACGGTCAGATGGTGAACTTCATCCGGGAACCTGCACGTCCCCTGTCTCTCCCTGTTGATCCCTTTTGAGTCGCCCTTGCCCACCCTCAAAGTGCAGTACGTCTGTCTCGTAGTCACATGCGCATTATTTCCTGTTCTTTTTAGGACCAATGTTGCCGATCCCAAAGCATCTTCAAGAAATACTACTGCAGAGTCAGGCAGAAGTCATAAATTGAATTATGTCTGTGTGGAACTCAGTAGACTTCATCAACTAGAGGAGTTCTAAACACTCGAGTTATTTATTTTTAACTTAACTCTATAAACTATCAAAACTCAAAGTTTAATCTAGTTTAAGTTCTGTACCATAGGCATACGTTATTCGTTTAATTTAAAGTCTTGAGGAACTAGTTTTGAGATGTGCTACTTCAAATTCGGCAAGATCTCATTTTACATTTCCGATGTGGTTATGAAAATATTTTACCAGAGTAATATTCTTAGCAAGAGACAGTGGTATTCTCTTGTTCTTTATGATATGTCTTGGGAAAGAATTTTCAAGAATAATATACACCAAAATAATATTATATGAAATAAAAATGAATTTGATGTAAGTTGTCCGTGCTAAAGTAAGATGTAAACATTGATAGCGTAAGGTGTCTGTTAATTGCTAGAGGTTCTGCCTAGACAGAAATTCCCATTGTAAATGCCACAGTGCTAGTCAGAAATTCAAGGACTTCTACTGTTGTGGTCGTTGTCGAACTTTAAAATTGTTTCAGCATTATAGTGGACAGCCATTGAAGTAAGCCTTTCGAGGCTGCTGTACGTGCGTCTCGTGGGCATCGCTCAAATACTAGTATCATACCAGACACCGCGAAGACCTTTCGCTCACCGCCTCGATTACCTCGCGCACTTCGCGAGAGGCGTAGGAGATACTCGTTCAACAGCTCGCAGGCTACACTGACGTAATCTTAGGTAGAATGCACGAAAACGAAAATAGACACAAAAGCGGAATGCGATCATAATTTTATTTTGCATAAACTTTTGGGTTCCTAGATTCCCAGCACGGCTTTGTTTTCATTTCAGTGGAGGCATTGTATAGACTTCAGTAACCAAGTCAAAATCTAGCTTAGGGTAATTTTTCACAGGAGACCCATCTTTCCTGCTCGGCTAGCTAATCAGAACACAGGATTCGTTTCATCTTGCCCCCATCACTGGGCCGTCATACGGTAGCGGGGAAAGACATGACACTGAAGTTTTAAAAAATTCATTGTCAAGGAAATGTAAAGAGAACAGTATGAAGAATATGCCTACTGATGAAAGGGGTTAAGAGTGGAGACTGGGCACAGCATCCCCTTTCATAAGCTTCAAAAGCATTTCACATTTTAAAATGACATTTATTATATTCCTAGTTAATTCTAATTCATTACATCAGTCACTTGATGAAGAGACAAGTTCTACAAAATTGAATTTCATCTTTGAAAAATATTTTCAGTTAACAAATTGCATTTATCTTGAAGGGCACAGCATTACCTCAATGCATTTAAATTTCACATACTGATATGATTGTTCCCTCAAGTACTTAATCAGGTGCTTCACCTACATTATGAAACATTTACACTTCAAAAGTATTGAGATGTTATGAAATCAAGCCATTAAGCCTGATTCTTATAAAGTCCAGAGTCACTCAATTCCCTAAACCTTGAATTGTCTGGGAGGAGTACCAACTTAAAAATTTTAAAGTAGAAATTGTGATTCCTCCCAGACACTACATTGTGACCCCAGGAAAGAGGGAAATATTATTCTTTACATCAACACTGTAGCTAAGGTATATTCCAGTAAGGACTCTTCCTCTGTTTCTTTTTTTTTTTATGGAAAGTCCTAACAGGTAAACATGTATTACATAAGAGAATATATAAATTTTGGTTTAGAAAACCCCAGACCCTGTGAAATTCCAGTGAAACATTTGAAACTGCACACTGAGATTTTTCCACCAAGAGTGCTGTAAAAGTGGGGGGTTGACATTCATTACTTACCACTATTAACATCTCACAATTTTATAAAGTTATATAGCTTATGCACCATTTACTAAATGTTTCCAAGGGATCTTCATTTACTTACTTCAACTCTCCCACATGGGTGGAATTTCTCATTCAATATAACCTTCGTTGAATGTTCACAAAAATTTCAGGAACCAATATAAATAAAAAAGATACACATAACTTAGTTGTACTGTTACAACAAGCCATTTGACTTTCACTACTCTAGCCCTACTTATTTTGCCACTAAAAAGGACAATTCCATCTGTGGTAAATAAAAGTAACAACTATCAATAAATAGGGGAGAAAACTCCTCAGAAATTTACCCAGTTTCCAGTATTATTAATATCACAACAGACTATGGTAATGAGAACTAAAAATTCAAAAAAAGAAATGCTATAAGGCACTTCTAGCATACGCAACCCTGTTTACCATTCCAGAAATGCTAAAATTTGGTGCTAGTCCTTAAACTTTTTTTAACATTTAACACCACATGTCATTATATCAAACATTACTTTTGCTATGATTTCAAAGATAGTTTTATTCTAATGGTTTACTTTTAATTGCATTTGATTCAACTTTTTAACCCAAGATCCTTGTTGCTAGTGTCAAGAACAGCAACCAGGTTTTTCTCTTTGTGACTCTACATACTGCTCAATGTTGAACTTTGGTTCAGATGGCCTCTTGAGATTTCTGTGTTTCATGTCTCTGAAGAGATATTACAATGTACTTCTTTACATATTTGATGACAATTTTCTGCCCAACCAACAAGTTTGCTATAAAGCGATGCTTACATGAGCCCTTGAACTCCTAGGGGTGACTAGCATTTAATATCAGCCCTGAATCAAACATTGAGGTCACAAGAAAAGAGGAAATGGTCACCAACTAAAGAAGCTCTTAAATGTTAAACAAATTCTCCTTGTCAGCACCACAAGAAATGTAAGGAGAACAGTATGGAGAATATGCATGCTGATGTTAGGGTGTTCGTGCTTAAGACTCACATCTATTAAACAAATTAGTAATTGTACAGACAAAAAAAATCTACTCTTTTTTTTCATCCCTTACCTGGCAACAGCCATGAATGCTAAGTCAACATTCAGTCCACTCTTTGCACTTGTTTCCATAAATGCTACATTATGGTCCTGAATAATGAGGAGAATTAATTATAGTATAGTGAGAAATAATGAAAGTTTTTATCAAGAGATTCCCCCTTCTACACCAAAACTGAGAATTGCCTCTATTTAATATTCTCCTCATAATATTCTTTAATCACTGTTTTGATCCATGTGAAATATTTTTACCTCCTCAAACAGTTACAATGTTACTATGATTGTAGAGAACCATGTACATGAGTGAATAAAGAGGTAAAACAGAATTAAGACAACAGACCTTAGCAAGTTTTTCCCCTTGTTCCCTGCTAACAACTCTCTCCTTGTTCAGATCAGCCTAGTTGAAGCAAGAAATTTTTGAAAAACAAACAAACAAACAAAAAAAAGAAAAAGTACATCACCAATATTATATCTTCAAAAACAAGCCATAAATAATTATGGAGTATGCTGCTATCAAACTTAGTCAACAGATCATTTTTTTATAATTGAAACTAGTAAGTGGACCAAAATCTACCAATGAGATTGGAACAGTACAAAAATTAAACCTGTCTCATAAGAGGTCTACAAAAAGTGTGACACATAGTATCCTTATCACTAAGGTGATACCAAAAGTGTTACAGTAGTAAATGAATGAAACAAATAAATTCAAGTATTCTTTGACTTAACTAACAATAGGAAAAAAGCACTGTAACAGTTGTAATTAGTAATTTAAAAAGTGGGAAAATAAAACAAACAAAGCTAAGGAAGCACAAGTGGAGGAACAAAATTCTCTTAAGACTACCAGTAAGCACAGTACAAATAGAAGGAAGATACAGATCAAGGATCATGGTGTGTTCTTTTCCTGATCAAATTAACTTTATCTTGTCCTTCATTTACCTTGTTCCCTAACAACATTATTATTACATCTGATGAGGCATACTCATAGATCTCAGCCAGCCATGCCTGGATACAAAATAATAGGGAAATGTGAACTAAGTATTCTTTTTAAGAATCATCCCATCAACTATAGATGTCAGGTTCACAACTGACAAAGACAATTTACCTGCATCTGAAGAACCTCCAAAAAGATATATGTATGAAGGGGGTAATTTTCTAAGGAAACTGTGGTGCTGCCTCAGTGGGGAGTATAACAAGATAATTTTGTTGTATAGTTGATGATATAAATTGGCCACTATATAATTTCAAAGCTGTGGTTTTGAGTGTTAGCCCTTTGCAAGAGCAAATGTGTCACCCTGATGAAGAGCTAACACTCAAATGGCAGCTTTGAAACTCTTTATGGTGGCCAATTAACATTATCAACTATTTTGATGGACCAAATTATCTAAAAAAGATGGTTTTCAACCCTCTAAGAAGGTTTAGGGAAGTTTCTTCAGATTGGGTTGTGCTAAGGAATTCTTTACATTTAAATTTACAACCTTGGGATTTTTTAAGGGGGGTCATACCATTTTTGTCAGTGGGATGGGAGGGCTCTTTGGGTTTTAAATAATAAACTAATTTGTAACGTACAGCAGGAACTGTTTTTTTTCCAGTGCATAAGATTTTGAAGAATATAATTTTGCTTTAATAATTCTAAATAATTACAACCCAGTGGTGATAAAAAAAACATCATAATGAAATAAGAGAGTAGAAAGGGTTTTACAAAGCAGCTATCTTTGTTCATCACTTTATGAAGGTCATGTCAAAGTGTACATGTACATGTTTAGAGGCACACATTAAGTATATTAATAAACCATAATATTTCAAGGTGACATTTGGCTGGCATTTTGTCTTTTACAACTTGCAAATTATGAATTTGAAAAAATTGTTCACAGAGTTAAAAACTTACCCTAATATTCTCAAAGGAACTTTCACTTGTGACATCATAAAGCAACAAAAGAGCTGCAATTGTATCAAATTACAATTCATAGTCACAGGTAAGTTATCCCAAACCTTGGAGTTATATAATGCAAACAAAGCATCAATTATCTCTAACAAACTACTGACTTGTATATAGTCTTTTGGGTTTCCTTAGAATACGATCAGGAAGGCTGATCTTATTCTAAGGAAACCCACAAGACTATTTGGGATTTTTATCTTTTTGCCTCCAGAAGATAAATAGAAGAGAAAGGGAAGCAACCAAAATACATTAATTACTGTTAGCAGAGTTTTATCAATTCTTGATTGAAGTACTGATACTAAGTTTAATAACATAATAAAAGAGAGCACACCTTTCAGAGGGAAGGTCTAAAATGAATATAGATCTTACAGACCACGACTCACTAGTTCAAAGGCCTATTAGTGCTAACCCAAGGATAAATTTAAATCCAGGTTTCATTATTACTCTATTCAAAAGCCTTTTTTTTTTGGATAATCATCCTTATTCCTTTAAGAGCATCATATTATCAAATTGTAAACAAAAACAATTAAAGTCAATTTTCTTTGAAAGCTTTCAGATCTGAAATAAAATTGCAAACTAACCCTGGGTTATCTCAAACCAGCTTTGAGCAAATCAGCCTATATTAGATAGCAGGTATGGAAAAGACACCTTCTGGTTTGAAATTGGTCTGGATTTGGAGAACTTATAAGCACACCCTGACCAAAAATTCTACAGAATACCTCCCACCCCTTACCCAGAAGTTACTGGCTCATCCTAATAAGTTCTCAATGTTTTTTCACCAGGAAAGTATAAGGAAAAGAATGTAAAAAGTCAACAATTGTGCTATTACCTTGGGAGTCTCTGTAATAAGCATGAGTTATGCTACGAAACCTCTCTTGTCCAGCAGTGTCCCATATCTATGAAATTTGTCACATAAAACAGAACCAAAAGGAAAATCATAAGTTACCCATTCAGCTGGTAACAGGAGAGTTTGAGAAACTGTTTTTTAAAGTTAAGCAAAAGTTCTAAGTACAGTCACTCAAAATAGCAAGACTGAAATATGGTGGGATTATTTCTTTGTAGCTAGAATACAAATATGATAACAAAATGCCACACAATGCAGTGGGTTCAATAAAAGCTGGTTACCAGCAGTCTCCCACTGCCTAATTAAGACCTCTTACTACCATCTGTTTAGCCTGGAAGCAGGTTCTCTTTTTTGGGTTTCCCAAACATTCCTCAGCAGCAGCATTCTGACTGGTCATGAATGACAGGCAAATCAAAGAGGCGTGGATGAAAATTATAATAAAACAGCACTCTTTTTGATGCTCAGAATGCTGGAAATGACATTTCTGAGCTTCTCAATTTCAAATTTTTTTCTAGGGGAACATTTCCTGAGACCCAGCAGAGGAAAAGAGTTATTGTGGTCCTTTCATTGGGCACAAACACATAAAATAACATCTGCAGCTGCTTGAGGAAAAAGTTACCAAAACCCCTGGGAATGTTACTATATAGCACTAGACTCCCTACCCCTCCACCCCCCTTCCAACAGCAGTCCTCTCCGGCAAGGGTTTCACAAAACTACTACGTGGCATCAACTTCTGAATTTTTTTTTAATCACCTTTAGCGTAAAACCTTAACCTCATTAAATGATAGTTCATCCAATTTACGAGCCAAAAAAAAAAAAAAATTAAAATAAATGTGCTTTCTTCATTTATTCATAACCCTACTTGAAGCTACTTTGCTGCTAAGAATTCTTCGTCTGGAGTGGGCGATAAAATAAACAAATCAAAAATTTAACATTCCATACTAACTCACAAATATTTTAAAACAAGCATGCATCCGAGGGAACATCAGGTTCTATTATCGGAACTTTTCGGCATAAATATACATGAAACGTGTCCTTACCTGCAGTTTCACTTTAGTTCCTTCCACGTCGACGATTTTATTCTACAAAAACAGGAAGACAGCCCGAACACGTATACAAGGGAATTATTAATCAAGAAGATAATTCATATGCAAATACCTGCTGAGTTAAATAGGACAAAAACGGCTGTGTTTAACTGTTCACCTTGTAGTCGATTCCAACAGTAGAAATAAACGAGCCTGATAAAAAAGCACCATCTTTGAACCTCACAAGGACGCATGTTTTACCCACACCGGAATCTCCGAGCAACATCACCTGCAAATAAAAAATATATATATATATATAATGTAGGGCTTAAGTCATAATGATCAGGCGGTCATAAACTGGTCGTAAATGCATTAAAAATTTTACCACAAGGTAGAGCATTTTAAAAGAAAACCTTTTGTACAAAAGCGACTAGTGAGCTTTAATCTACTTGAACTATCAATAAATTTGAAAAATCTACGACTGCTAGCACAATCAGCTGGCCAAATATCTTGGACTGCATCTAAGTTTTCGGTAACAGATCTCAAGCGACGAAATTTACACCGAACTTTAGCACGAGTAAAATTCGTAAGGCGACAACTGGGATGAAGTGAACGTTGCAAAGCCTGACATGTTTCGCAATTACGGCAAGAATGAAATAAACAATTCATTTGTCGTCATTTCGGTCAGACGTTTCGACCGAACGTACGAACACTTATCTTATACCAACCTTGCAGGCAACGTCAAAATTATCGCTTGCTGGACGTCTCGTGGGGCCATTTTGCAAGTATGACATGGCGAATTTGTTACGGGCAGACTCCAAAGAGGAGTTCCGGTATTACCGGTGATATTTCTCGGTTCGGTTCAAGCACATAAATCAACACACTCGATAATGTCCCCACTTTAGAAATTAATCATGAATTCGCGATTGCCAAGAAATCGCACTCGTTCATATTTGCATAACATGTGACGTCACAACGCCGTTCCCGCGCTAGTAGGCGCGGAATCATATGCGAATTCTTGGAATAATTGAAATATTTTACCCACGCGAAATTCAAAGCGACCTTTTTTACTTGCCGGAAAAAGAAGTTAAAACTTAAATTTGCTTTTGAAATGCAAACAGTGGGATCTTGTCGAGCAACTTGCGAGCAGTACTGGAAAAAATGATGCAAGATTTTTGCCAAAGTTTAGTTTTCATAATACTTTTTCTTTATCTTCCATTACAATCGAAATCCTTGACCTTTCCATTAAAATGACGGGGTTACCTCTACACGAAGGCTGCTAATATAAATTAATGATCATGACGAAGCCGTGGGTGTTTGAAAAGTTCACTAGCCGCCACAATGATCCCAAATTTTCTAAGCCTTGAGAAACTGAGAACTAGTGCAAAATGAAATGGTTGCAAAATCACACTTTATTGCTTATTTTAGAGTGAAAATATGCAAAACTATAAGAAGCGCTTTGAATTCGGTCCCTCTCTTAACTGTAACCCCGTGGGATAACTTCTTAAATTACTGTAATTTAGAGATTAGTTTTTGTTACGGATTTTAGTGCGAACGGAAATGACCAACTTATATATATATATTATATATATATATATATATATGCTAATAGTAATATTTTACGATTTACCCTTTTCTAGAGGTTCTTTTAATATTAGGAAGCTAAGTAATTCTTTTCGGTCTTGACCCCTTTGACCTCCTACAAGTATTACGCCATTTCTTCCTGGGAAATCTGGAATCACTGATTTGGTAACATGATCGAGCGTCTTTTTGTTTATTGTATTGAAGCCATACCATACCAATGCTTTTTACTTAAAGGGGGTAAGTTTCTAAAGAAACTGTGGTGCTGCACCGGTGGGAGAGAATATCAGGTAATTAAGTGTTAACAACTTGAGTTGAAAACGTAAATTGACCACCGTTAAGAGTTTAAAGGCTGACGTTTCGAGCGTTAGCCCTTCGTCAGAGCGATAGACGAAGGGCTAACGCTCGAAACATCAGCCTTTAAACTCTTTACAGAGGTTAATTTACGTTTTTAACTCAGTTGTTAACACTCAATTACAATGCTTTTCACAGTCGTTCTGGTAGTGTAACTAGAATACTAACTAATTTCCAGTTAACTTATGAAAACTAGGCGTCAACATCGGTAGGCCCTTCTTCTCCAAAAACGAAACATGTTCACTCTTGTTATAAATTGCTAACATGCAGTTACCTTTAAATCGTACTACAGTTAAACTATTTCTAAACTAACCAGTTTAACTATTTTACACATTTCTTGATTGTATTTCCATGATAAAAACCATCTCTTTGCACAGTTGCAGTTTGGTTGCAACATACCAAGCAAGGAATTATGGGTAAATGAACTGAGTATAGGTGATATTTTGATGAACGACTGTTAATCTCTTGTCAGCTCTAACTTCATGAGCAACAGCCTCGTAAGCAGTCAAACAGTTGAGTTAGAAAAGTTAAGTGTAACAAGTTGTGCTACAATCCTAACCATTAAACAAGAGCGAGTTTAAAGCCGCAGTTCACTTTATTGGGTAGTTGAGATAAATTCCTTCCAAAAGACTACTTCAACAAAACTTTGACCTTAACATGATCAACCATGTTCAGGAATTTCTCTCACGTGTATTATCTACCATGAAAGGACATCATACATCAATAGTACTAAAAGTTCATTGACACAACAACAGTCACTGGCATGAGTAATTGCCTAAAAGTAATAACCACAAATCCAACTCCAAAATCCTATTTTTTTTTTTTTTTTTTAATTTTAAAGGTAAATTTTAATAAACAAACAAGCCACAATTTTGTCAAAGTTTGTTTCACGCGCCGTAAAGTTCACTTTGTCATCTCGGTTCAGAGTCGTTTCGCTATCACTTGTTTGGAAAACACGCTTTTGTAGTAGCCTCGAAAAAAATATATATTAACAAACATTTTTTCTTCTTTTAACAAGAGCGCTTTAACCAGCATTTCACTCAATCGCTAAAGGACACGTCTTCTTGGGTATATCTGTCCGTAAAGGCGAGAAACGTGCCGCACAACAACTTGAGCATGCGCAAAACGGCACGTGTTTTTCTCGGTAATTTTCCCGCCCTAAATCCATCGCCCGTAGCAATCAGGTTGGGCAAATGATCAGCTGTTGGTAGAAGTGAGGACTGTTTGCGCCGAGAGTGTGGTCAATGCCTCATTGATCCTTTTTCTCATTCGTCACTATTAGCAAGAACAGAGAGCACGATTGCATTCCTCACACCCAATCTTCAACATCAAAGAATAGAAGTACCACTCATTCAGAGATACGTCGTTTCATAATTCCAGCGTTTCGATGCTGTAAGGTGCCACTTTCTCTGCTTTGGGTAGAGCCTTCCGTCTCCGAAAATGATCCAAGAAACTTTCCACAGAACGCAGCTTATCATAAGTACGCACCTAAAGAAAAACAATTATTATAAAAAGGTGAGAAATGATCTTCAATGCCTAGGTCGTTAGAGAGAATACTACATTACTATAGGCAAGGCCATCTCACTTGAATTAAGTAAGATATTCCTCACCAACATAAAAAATGGCTACCAAGTTAGTAGATGGTTTAAATCATGGGCGGTAAAATGTATCACAAATAAGTACTCATCGCATATTGGAGTGTCTGTTGACATTAAACACATAAAAAATAAACCAGCATTTTCCGGAGAAAACTTCTATCCCTTGTGCCTCACACCCCATGAACTGCTATGAAGCTTCAAAAAAGAAAAAACTTGTTTCTCAATCAAGAATTGGAAAAAAGACTGTGATTATCATTTGTTCACTTTATCATAAATGAATGCTGTACCTCCTTCTCTAGAGCTCATTTGATTTCAAAGCACAAGCATCAGACAAAAAAAAGAATCCAGCTACCCTGCCCTATCCTCCCCACCCTAATGCTGAAGTTTGTTATACCTGTTTAGCCACAAGTTGATGACAGCTGACCAGTACTTCGTGGGCTTCAGGTATGAGCACCAGTTGGGTGTAATGAGCGTTCAACAGCAATCCTGCCCAGTCAAGGACCTAGGACGGATAAAATGGCTTAGGAAAAAGAGATAATTTACAATTCAATGTCGAAAGTGATTTGACATATCTTGGATTTTCCTTCAGAGTGCTTTTTGATAGAGTGTCTTAACACTAAAGCCAAAGTAATCACAGCGGCCAATCAAAGAGGAGAAAGATCTTATAAGGAGCCAATCAGAGCAAGCAGACTGCCTGAAGCGCGGAGGAAGGCGAAAACTTTACAAGCAATTGGTTTTACTTTTGAATTTGACTTGGTTGAAAGGGTGGCGCGGGTTATCTGAGCCAGTCAGAGAGCAAAGCGATGCAAAACCAACGCATTCCAAGTAAATTTCCCACGCTTAATTTCAAATTGCCGCACAACCCTTTCAACCGATCGTGACTAAGTCACTTACGATATCTTATGTTTCAAACAGTTTCTGTGATTTCACTTCGATCAAGTGTCGAAAGTAGAACAGGATTGCATCGGCTTTGCTTTACTTCGCTCTGATTGAACTAAAAATCTTGCGCCACTCTCTCAACAATCAGATGTCAACTTAAAACCAATCGCGATTGAGTCACGCACTCCAATCAATTTGCTTCGAATTCTCATTGGCCTTTTATGGTAACCTCCTTTTTCCTGATTTGCCGTAATGATTACTTTGATTTTGGCTTTGGACACTCAGTCGAAAGGCTTCTCTAACTGAAATGGCTCCAGCGAATAACTGAGACACGGTTACGTAATGTAGCATTCTTCTTAGGAGAGGGTTAAACTACTTTAACTCTACCTGTGGATACATCAGAGTTTTACAATCAACTTCTTCTCCAAAGCCAGACAGACCATGGTGCATAAGATACATTAGGAAGTCTAATAATAGCTTGGGAAAAAAAAAAGAGAGAGAGCACATCAAAGAAAGGCGTACAACAAATTAAACAAATTAAATCACAAATAACAATAAATGACCAGACGAGTTAAAAGATAAATAAAGATTTCTTCTTGCAAGTAGAATGCCCTTGAACACAGCACAATGAGCCAACCGAGTTTTAATGCTGGACATTTTAATGCAGAGTTCACACAATGACCACATCTGAACTCGTGTGATGTATTGCCAAAGGACACGATATTCGAACACGGACTGCGTGCAGTCCAAAATTAAAACACATTTGCAAAGTCACTTACTTTGACGTCTTTAAAAGAGAGCTTCCTTAAACTGGATTGAAGAAAAGAGTCATTGACAGGGTAGCTTAATATTGTACATCTAGTCATTCATCAAGGAAAAAATTCAATTTAGGCTATCTGAGCCTTTCGTTAAAAGGGAGTTGGGTCATATTTAAAGTAAGTCAGTTTTTCAATTCAGCAGATTAGCAATCTAAAACAACATTAAATTTGCGTAATAAACTCAGTTTCTCTTCAGGATACAAATACTTGGCCTGTGTCTTGCCTAATGGCATCTGACCAAAATCTTCTTCCTGTGATTCCTCTTTCTGATTTTCTTTCGATGTTTCGTCAAGTATTAGATGATCCAGTCTACAAGAGAAGGAAAATTGGTTAACTTTTTTGGGGCAATAAGTAACTTGAGGTAGAGGGTAAACGGTGCTGAGCTTGGTGACAAAGTTGAGGTAGTTTACATTCCCTAAACAGACATTCCCAACAATAGTGTCGCAAGTGATCCAAAATTGCGTTGGTTTTGCTTCACTTTGCGGAGTCTCGCGCGCTTAACCGACTCCCTCCAACCTTTTTCTTCCTCAACACCGCATCAATTCTTATCCAGAGAACAAACATTCAAAATTTCAGTTTAGAATAATGACAAACCTTAAAATATGGCGAGCGCAGAGAACGACGGTGTCTTCAGCAATTCCATCTATGTTGTCAAAACACTCTTCCAGTAAATCCTACAAAATCAATGTAAACATTAAGCCCTGGCACGAACAGAAGTATCTCCAAAGTGATACAATCCTTATCAATGGTGTACAAAAGTGGTCCAAAAACAATGAGACTCTTAGCAAAACAAGAGCCAGTCACCTGAGCTGGGACTTCAATTTTCATTTTTTTTTTACGCCTTATCCATCACTGTCCTAAACAACTGAGTGGACAATCGAAAATCACCCATATCAGGCGTGTCGCTGCAAAGCTTTTTGTAAGGTAAAACAAGGGTACAAGAATCGAAGCTACAACATATTCCGCTGACCAGTCTCCAAGTATGGTGATTAAAGTACACTGTATGTGTGGGAGTAAAACTACGGAACAAAACAGCGCTTAGAAACTTTCCCTGTCGTAACATGTGACACTTTTCACCTTCTTGGCATCTCTTTGAGCGAAAAATCGTGGTTAAGTAAACAAATATATTTGCAGACGCACTCACCAAGTCATTCTTCTCGACAATAGCTCTTAGTAAATCTTTACTGCAACTTAAAAAATCAAAAGAAAACTACGTGAATCGCCAAACTAGACCCAAAACTGTATCACTGAGGTGTGCCATTGTAGCCTATAGGCATTAAGTAAGAGAACAAAAAACACACGCGCGCACACGCGCGCACGCGAGAGAGCTCCTTTAGTTATGTGCGCATGTATTCCAGCTCGGGTGGGTCGATCTACATCACTCGCGCGCAGTTACCCGCTACGCAGGCAAGTACCATTGTGAGTACCATGACCAAGTCTTGTGTACCCTTCTACATACCTGGATGGAACACACTTTGTTTTGAGGAGCTCAGATATAGAGTCCCTCGCCCAAAAGTTTTTCTCTTCGGTACATCTCGTCAAGACGCTGGATATAAAATGTTGTGATAATACTTCTGTCCTCTTACCAAACTAGAGGTGGCACAAAATATTTAACATTAAACCCTTGAGATTCCTAAACATAACTTAATTGCTTCTTTCATTATTGATAGGAGATCAGTAACGAACATGACGAGAGTACACAACCAGAGTTATCATCAACTGGAGAATGTTTAAAATGCTTGGTCTCAGTTTGTAAATATAAAAACAGCTGAAAACATTTTTTAGAGTTTATCATTGTTTCTTTGTGTTTATCGTTACCAGTCTTTGGAGACATTTCGACTGAACTTCACCAGAATAAAATCAAAGTATACAAAACCGCTTATTAGAAAGAGGAGGGGGGGGACAGGTTAAAATTTGTCTAATGTTCATAAAATTAGACATCATTACGCGTCTAAATCTTTTTTGTCACTAATTGAAAGGTGGTGGCTTAACCCAAACTGAAACCGGAAAATAAGGATTTTTACTTTTTCACAACATACCTTTCCCACAAACACAGGCACAGCTTTGTTAGATTCCGGTAATTGATTAGAATTTTCAAGTTTTTCATCTGCAAAAGAGTATCGTTAATAAACAAAAATCAGTTCATGAACCGAGTCATGATGTACACGCTGGGTATGGAGATCATCAAGAGCGTCTCCCCTCTCGTGGGGAAGGGGAGGGTAAGGTTAGATCCCCAGTGAATAACCAGTAGGGACCCCTCTCGTACCAGCAACAATAGGCCATTTCCGAAGTCCCTTCGACATCTTTTTCAAAACGTGCTCCATCATTCATGTGAAAAATAGTTTTATTTGCGTGTGAATGAAAAGTTATAATCATATGAAAGGATGAGCACCAGGACTCGCTTTGAAAATGAGGCCAAAGGTAATTTGAAAGTGGGTTATTGGTTTACATACCTTTTTCAGACAGCTTAAATTCCATGTATTTCCGAAGTTCCGCAGAGAACACCTCAAGTGTAGGAGTCTATAAATCAGAGCAAGGAGGAAAAAATACAGGTTAACAGATATCTCCCATATAATGGGATGAAAGTTCTAAGGTTCGGATACTCATGCGATGCTCAGATAAGTTCTTTGTTTCAAGTTTGTGACAGATGTCTACCTTCCTTCTTTATTTGATGACTGTTCTCAGCTGATACTGCCTTCAGTCCTTATCTTCCTCTAAATACAAAACTTTTGCCATATCTGATTCTGGCAATATATAGACAGCGCTCCATGCTACGATCGTTTTGGTCACAAAGACGACCAGAAATCATTTTGGACACTAAACCTGTGGCGAAATTGCCAATTTGGCGACTTGTGCTCGAAGGTCATGTATCAAACAAACTGTTATGTTCTTATTACTTACATGAAGTGTTAGGTTAGCTGAAATGTTAAAATTCTTGAGTTCATTCTGGTCTAAAGGTGTACCTTTGATGGATCTTTTAACTTCTGCAGAACCTCTTTTTCCACTTCATCCTCTCTCGCAATTGTCTCTTGCCAGTGCTTGAGAGCCTGCTCAAATAACAATATTATAAGTAGGACCAATATATATATTATAAGAAAAATACATATCTCCTACAAACCCATTTACTGCCTTCATTTCAAAAATTACCCACCTCGCCTGGTCTTGCTAACTTTGGCGTAACGAGCAGCTCTGGTTTAACTTTGTTATTCCTGAGGAACCTATGCAGAGAAAATTAATAGTTCAAACATTTCAAAACTGCATGCTGGCTGGTCTCCTCAAGCTCAATTGCCAAACACTGTTCAGGAGATAAGCCCACGCTCCTCCCAAAGACACTGGGTTCGTGAAAACGGCGGAAATCAAGCCCGTAGTCTTCTTTGTCTTTTGATAAACAAGAAGCTTTGAGTAACAAGACCAACCAACGGCTGCCAAGAAGAATAGCCGCTGGCAAGAACATGGTGAAGGGTTGATCTGGATCAATGCAGGTATCTTAACAACTGTGCACCTACCCCTCCCCTAACCAACAACGATTAACTGATAACAATTTAGGGTTATAGTTGGGTTTGGGGAGGGGAAAGTTTGCAGTTGCTCAGATGCTGATATTGACCCGTGGATCGGTGATTTAGGGGTGTTTAGTTGGACTCCATGGAACATTTTAATATATCCGTCAATCTACATGTTGATATCCCAAATAAAATATGAACACTGTGCACATGAGAGGTGATCTTGTCAAGCAGCTGGCTCCATTACCAGTCACTGCTCATACTCCTTCCGTGAGGGCAGAAGATTGGATCCGAGGGAACATATAACGAAACAATCATAAAGACCCTGTTGACATTACATATGTTTAGCAACCAGCCTTGACTGGTAAAGTAAAAAGGTTAAGAGTTTGAAAAAACAGAACTTTACTTAAATGAATCACTTACTTTGCCGTTGAATCCAGTTGTCCCAAAGCAGATGCTAACGAGCTTCTATCAATTGAGAACTGACATACAGCTACAAGATGATGAAAGCCAATACAAATGAAGCCTGGAATACAACATACACAGCCTGCTCCTCGACTCCGTGAGTAACTGAGCAGTGAACTCTGTTTTTCAATGATTTTGTCCAAAGTCTGCCATGACTGCAAAGTACCATACTTAATATTCCATATCATGACCACATCTGAAACAGCAAAAAGACTGCATTTAATTCTGTCATATTTTTGAAAAGGAGAGGTCTGGTTTGAAACACCCTTCAAATTATAATTTGTTCCATTCTCTTTATCTGTTCGCTACATAATGTATATGACTTTGTACATGTGCACCATCCAATTTTCCAACAATTATGCTGCTTCCACAGAGACAAATGTGTAGTTTGGTGTGATATGAAGATAATACCCTTCAATTAAAATTTATTCTTCCCTCTTTAACTATTTGCAACAATTTTTCCAACTATCATGCTGCTTTCACAGAGACAAACATGTAGTTTGGTGCAATATGAAGATAACACCCTTCAAATAATAATTTACTCTTTTCACTTTAACTATTTGCAACATGATGTATATGACTTTGTACCTCTCAATTTTCCATCAATCATGCTGCTTCCACAGAGACAAATATGATCCAGGTCTACAGCAGACATAGCTACACACCTCTGAATAAGAAAACAGGGCAAATGTTGTATACAAAATCATTATCCCTTTCACTCCTGGGAGAGACCAGGAGGCAATAAACCTCTTTAGCTTCATATGTCATAGTTTGGTCATGTGGTATAAACAGGGTAAACAACAGTTAAGGCCATAACAAATTAAATGCGAAGGGTAAGGAATGGTTCACAAGCACCCTACATCCTGCTAGTGTTCTCACTTGAGCTTACATCAGATTCTCTAGAATAGTGATGAGAAGTATTGCTCTTTTCTACAGATAGGATGCCACTACATCACAGGTTATCACCAACATTTCAGCATGTTTTGCTCTTAGTTCTCTTGTGCACATTATTTATACTTATGCCTGGAAAGAGGTACTCTAAGAATGAAAGTCTCTGGTCTCAAAACACAACACAACAATCCCAACCATGGGCTTAAACCTGAACTTTTTTAATCAGTGTACAGCATTCTAACAATCACTGGATTACCACATTTCTGCTCCAGCATTTTGCAGTATGTCATACATGTAGTGATCAAAGATGCAACTGATAACAAAACAGAGTTGTCAGTTGTACCTTTTCCTTATTACTTTCATGTTGCAGAGGTTGTAACCTCTGAATTACTTTGCAGGAAAGATCCAGTATTTCACCACCTTGTTTCTGCTCTAGTGCTGTTTCCAGCTCGGTGAGACAAAGAGCTCCACTGGACCCTGGGAAAACCACAACAAAAGAGGAATTGGGGGGGTTAGATCTTTAAAATGGTAATAGATCATGATTTTGAATTCCCATAAAAGGTTCCCACTTAAGCCCTATCTACAATACCCTTAGTATAGTTAGCTTTGCATAATTCAATGACTCTAAATTTTTTTATTTTCAATTTTTACTGGAAAAAAAGTTTAGTTTATCACTTATATTATTTTAGTAGTAAATGCTTGATAGCTACTCATTTACTGAAATACTTACAGTAAGATACTAAATGACATCCTTCCTCATAAAGACAGCCACACAATAGCTCAGCATCCTAAAATCACAATTTAAATTGATGTCAGCAAAACTCTAGAAAAAAAATTTATCGTCTAAATCAGCACTCTTAATCCCCACAGTCATCTGTCAGTCATCTCAAAGAGCACTTTTCACTCAACTAATTTATTCTTGTTTTCTCATAGAGTAACTCCACTTTCTACATATAAACCCACACACAACCCACAATTCCTCCAATCACTCCAATGAGGAGCTACCACTCAAAACGTCAGCCACTACAATAGGATGCGTACACTTCTTAACCCTTTGACATCCAAGATCTAAACATCAACTCTCCCTTCTGTCTGCCACACATTTCATGTGATTTTAGGTATGAGAATTTGGTGCAAATAAAACTTTCCATTATGAAAGAGGTCTATCAAATCACTTAATCTGAATCTTTAAAAATTATCATCGACATGCAATCAACACAAATTTAACACATAGCATATCAAGGTTAGAAGGTTCCTTGGCTGTGTTTATTAACTTCTAATTTTTTAATCAGGCACATTGCTGGGTACTCTAATCTATCTTTTCTTCTGTGTTTTCAAAAACATTAACAGCATGAGCAAAACAAGATCAAATTTAGTAATTTGGTATTACCGTTAAGAGTTTCAAAGCTGACGTTTAAAACATTGGTCCTTCGTCTGAGCAAATGATGAAGGGCTAATGCTTGAAATATCAGGTTCGAACTCTCTATAGTGGCCAATTTATGGTGCAACTCAGTTGATAAAACCAAATCACCATATTATACTCTCCCACTGACCACAGTTTCTACGCCCCCTTTAAACACCAAATTTAGTTTTTCAGGTGTAATTTAGATTGGTTACAGCCTTTCTATCCTCTCTTACATCATTATCCATGGACCAAGTGAACCAATAGCTCCAGTTGAAATTACACACAAACACAGGAGGAAAAGGTGACAGGAAGGAGAAATTGCTTTCCCACACCCAATGCTTGTTATCATGCTTTAAAAAGCCTATGCAAAATTTCTCAGTCTGTGACTTTCTAAATGTTTGTTCATAGATTAAGATGCTGATTTGTAGCTGACACTTGATCAGGAGAACTCATAGTAAGTTTTAGTCATTACCTCTTCAGGAGGTGTTAATTTGAACTCCATTGCCTGGTTCTTTGGATTCCAGTGAGCTGGTGTTCCATAATTTGTAGCATTTAAAATGTACTCATTCTTTTCCTAAACATCAGAGAGCACACAAGAAAGACAAAACTTTTGAGAAAGACACCATACTTACAAGAATAAATAAGTTAACATTAATATCA